ATAGTGTGCCTAGAATCAGTATAATTTTCTACCTTTTTTTCTTTGAAATAATACACTCCAATGTTGACTACTTGTTTTTAAAAAAGGTTGAGGCCTCCCTGTGAAATTTTTGACCTTGTAAAAGCTGCTTACCTAGTATGCATAGAGTTGGTACAATATTCCTGGCTTTTTTTCTATGAAATAATACACTCTAATTTAGATTTTTTTTTTTTTTTTTACTACATGCTTCCTGGTATCTTCCTCTAAAATTGAGGCTCAATAAATCTGTCTACATACTGTTCAATATTTTTGACTTCTTCCTGTTATATAGTACACTCTAGTTTAGGTTTCTTGAATTAAAAACTGACTGGCCATTCTTTGTCAAACTGTGGCCTAGTTAAATTGCTAAAATAATGTGCACGAAACACGCAAATATTTCTCGCTTTTTCTGTGAAATAATATGCTTATATTGTGATTCTTAACTAAAAGCTGTGTGATAACTCTCTATCAAAATGTCTTAAATACTATGCATTGAGTCACTACAGTATTTCTGGCTTTTTTCTGTTAAATAGTACTTTCTAATTTTAATTTCTTGATTATAACCTTGGTCTTTCTGTGTGAAACTGCTGCCTATTAAAATTGCTTAAATACTCTGCATGGAGCCAGTACAATATTTTTGAGTTTTTTTTTCTGTGAAAAATGCACTCATTTTTGATTTTTCAAATATAAATCAGGTGGTCTAGCTCTTAGTCTTGTTCATTGACTGTACAATATGTATGATGAAAATAATACAATTTAATTTGTAGTTATTGATAAAACATGAGTGCTCTCTCCCTCTTACATTGCAGCCTATTAAAGCTGCCTACATAGTGTTAATCAAATATGTAAAATATTTCTTGTTATCTGCTTCATCTCTCACTCTTAGACCTTAGCCTAACAAATCTGCTTTGAAACCAAGTCATCTTGTGAGAGGTTGGCCTGCCTATGCCCTCTGGTTTTCCTCCTACACCTAAGCCTGCAGTGCTGTGAAGCCATATACCAGATTTATTACTGTAATGGCAGCTATAGCAAAGGAAGGTACAAAACAGAAGGAGCATCACTGCACAAAAAGGGCAGCTTTGCCTGTTTCAGCAATAAGTGTGGAACTAAATCCGCCTTGTAGGAAGGTGACATGCCTTTTCCCATTAGGTTTTTCCCTCAGGATGGTATCAATAGATCCACTTATGATTTTCCCCTTGGATTGGGATTGTTGCCCTTGAAGTTGCATAAAAAGGAGGACCCTCTCCCCACTGTATGGTATTTTTTTTCTCATTTTTGTGGCATTAGTACATGTCCCCCATGGCAGTGCCCAGCTCCTTGTGCACTTTATTTGACAACCCCTTGCCTATTAGACTTGAAAATTGACTTTCATTGAATTTAGATTAAAATTTAATCTTCTCCCATATAGACTTTAATGGGGTTCAATTAAAGTTCATCATTTTCTGACTGTACAATGGGTTTGATGAATGGCCCACAAATCAAATCCTAACTAATTTCTTCATCCCTAGTCCTAGATATAATGGAGAATATTTGGAATATCTGGCTTTAATTGCTGTCCCCAGGGGCGGACTGACCATTTGGAAACTCGGGCACTGCCCGAGGGCCCAGGGTCATTAGGGGGCCCCATGAGATGCCCCTGGTACCTTTTTCATAGGTTTTTTTGAGTTCGGGCAAGGACACAGGTGCCCCATGATCCCCTATTGCCCGGGGGCCCCATGAGTTGTCAGTCCACCCCTGGCTGTCCCCATTTGTGTTCCCATTGCAGAGATTTCCTCAAAAGAGAACATCGATGCAAACCTTACACAGATTCTAATCCTCCCTTATCAGCTAAAATAAAATGTTTTTATTAATATCCATCTCCCCATTGAAGATATGTTTCCTCAGAGGTTCTAACCCCAATGGAATGGGGGGAGGGGGTTGGAGGATTTTGCAAGGTAAATACAAAACTAAAAACAGGACCTTGCTGCCCATGAAGCCAAGTGAGGCAGCCACTTCAGGCGGCACTCATGGAGGTACAGTAGGGGATGATACTGAGGCTAAAAAGTCCTTAGTGCATGTTCAGCGCTGTGTATGTTCAGCCCCTGGACTGCCTGCACCATAACAACCAATGACATTGTGCAGCTCCTCCACCAGTGTCCTAGAAACTGATGAAACTGCAGCCTTGCCACCAGTGTCCTAGCATCCAGTGACACTGTGTAGCCTGGATAGCATCCTAGCAACCAACAATGGAGGAGGGAGGTGTAGCAACAATGGCCAATTCTGGTGGCAGTGCAAGGAAATGCATGCCAACACATACAGGTGAAACTCGAAAAATTTGAATATTGCGCAAAAGTTCATTTATTTCAGTAATGCAACTTAAAAGGTGAAACTAATATATGAGATAGACTCATTACATGCAAAGCAAGATAGTTCAAGCCGTGATTTGTCATCATTGTGATGATTATATGGCTTACAGCTCATGAAAACCCCAAATCCACAATCTCAGAAAATTAGAATATTACATGCAATCAATAAAACAAGGATTGTACATAGAACAATATCGGACCTCTGAAAAGTATAAGCATGCATATGTACTCAGTACTTGGTTTGGGCCCCTTTTGCAGCAATTACTGCCTCAATGCGGCGTGGCATGGAAGCTACTGACATTGTTTGTTGTTCAGGAGCGGTTTGACAAGAGGAATACGACATTTGAAGCCCATGTCCAGGATCCATCTGTGTGTGGTGGCTCTTGATGCACTGACTCCAGCCTTATCCACTCCTTGTGAAAGTCCCCAACACTTTTGAATGGCATTTTCCTGACAATGCTCTCCAGGCTGCAGTCATCCCTGCTGCTTGTGCACCTTTTTCTTTCACACTTTTCCCTTCCACATAACTTTCTATTAATGTGCTTTGATTCAGCACTTTGGGAACATCCAACTTCTTTTGCAATTACCTTTTGAGGCTTTCCCTCCTTATGGAGGGTGTCAATGATGGTTTTCTGCACAACTGTCAGGTCAGCAGTCTTTCCCATGATTGTGATTCCTACTGAACCAGATTGAGAGACCATTTAAAGGCTCAGGAACCCTTTGCAGGTGTTATGGCTTAATTAGCTGATTAGAGTGGGACACTTTGAGTCGGGAATATTGCACCTTTTCACAATATTCTAATTTTCTGAGATTCTGGATTTGGGGTTTTCATGAGCTATAAGTCATAATCATCACAATTATGACAAATCACGGCTTGAACTATCTTGCTTTGCATGTAATGAGTCCATCTCATATATTAGTTTCACCTTTTAAGCTGCATTAGTGAAATAAATTAACTTTTGCACGATGTTCTAATTTTCGAGTTTCACCTGTATATTAGCTCATACTGTGCAGTTGTACAATCAAAAAAGTTCACACTCTCTGCTGATTGGAGAGCTCCAGCTCAGAATCAGCAGGTGGTGTGGCAGAGAGATCCCTGATTCCACATTTCAAAGAAAAAGTATACTACTGTCTTTTTTTATGTATCCTCATTGTACCTAATATTTATTTTTTTCTTAAAATTTCAAATAAGATTTAATCATTGGTGCATCAGTATTTTGTATCATGGGGTTCTAGAATCGGAGAATTCATGGCTCTTCCCACTAGTCTTACTCACACCCTTGCAGTTTAATACAATTTGTCTTACAAGTGTCAGTATTCTACCTGGGGAAAGGGAACCATGCTGGAAACTATAGCTCACCATTGGTGGATCCTTTTTTTTTTTGATCAGCCAGCAGGCTGAATGAAGAGAAACTAACAGATTCCTACATCCACACAAGCAAGGTGGATAGAGGAATCCTGCCTGCTGGGACATTTTATTTTGACAGTTATTTCAAACATTATCATTTGACCGAAGTTGACTGTTTGACTTTTGCTGAGCGGGAGCAGACACTCATGGGTCAAAATTCGGCTGAACTGGATGAATTTTGATCCATCTAAGGCCAGCTCAATGGTACTAACAATGCAGCAAGCAGACTTTTTAAAAGTGTCATTAAACCCATATCATCAAAAACTGTCAGTGTGTGCTGTATTATATGTTGTTCATATTCACTCAGTCAGTATGGTATTCACTTTCTGTATTCTGCAAAAAACATGGTTGATCCTTCTGTTCACTGTCCCTCCCTCCTTGTCTGTGTCCCCGCTGCAGCCTGGGATGTAGACAAGACTTTGCCAAATCTACTTAGCATACTTCAGTTTAAATTCCCTTATAAGTTGCTCATTTTCTCTGTTTTCTTATCTGTGCAGCCCATAGAGTCAGACAGGTGGGATAAATGATAGTCCACTCTATTCCTCCTCTTCAATACCTACTAAACACTATGGGGGTGGAATATTACATTTATTGATGGAGGCTTCACCTCCCTGTAATTTTAAGCACACACTAATAATATACACAGGTTGGAGGGGCGTGAAACAGACTATGATTTACTGAATCTCCCCCCAGATAGCCCACACCATGCTTTTGCACAAAAATAATTAAGATTTCAACAGTCCAAATACATATTTGTATGGTGATATAAAACATATTTTTGATAATAATTATGTATTTTTTCTTTGTATTTCAAAGACTTTTTTTTTTCTAACATGTGATCAGTAACAGAGACCTAGAAGCTTCTCCTGCCAATGTTTCCCTGCAGATGGGTTGGGAAAGAGCTGGGTCATGTGACAGCTGTATATGAATTATAGAAAAAGGTACCTAGATTTTTTTTTTAATCTACAGTACCATCATCCATATACATAAATAAAAGGAATAATGTAAAATAAAAAGTGTGTGTTTAGTATTACGTTAACATACTGTACTAAATCACAGAGTTTTGCATTTGTGATGGAAAGTGATGTCATGTAAATGTCCTCACAATATTTTAGTGGGGGGTTTTTGGCTCCTTTTGGCACTCAAGCTGTAATCTCCCTTACTATAACATTGGTCTGTTGAACAAAACGTACTGCTGTCTTTAATATAGGACATTGTAATTTGTTTACCTACGCATTCTTCATCCAGCTTTACCCGGCCGTTGCAGTGTGTTGAGTGCTTGGAACTGCACAGTCCTGAGGCACAATAACAATTTGTTCTTCTACAAACGGCATCTACAGGGCAGTCTTCATCCTGTGTACATGTATCTTCATAAAAACAAGAGGTTATAGTGACAATACTTCTCCACAGCACATGGGTTCACCCACACATAGGTTGAAATTTGCAGACAATGTGACAGCTTTGAAAACAGCTTCACAGAGATGACACATGGAAAGTTAGATGCGGTAAAGAGAGACAAATGGTTCAGCTACACTGAGATTTGTAATGATTAAGGCTGATCTTCAGCCGGTGAATGTTTACTGCCGATTGCCAATCCAAACAAGCAACCAAATCTACATCTTTGTAAACTTATATATTAATGGGGTTCACCAGATCCTATGATTTCATTTTTTTGGCTGGCGTTCTCAGGACACCTGCCCTTCATCCCACATTTTGGAGCTTTTGGCTTCTAGTCAGCTGAGAGCATTACCCGCTAGGGATCACTCCTGTATTGACTGACAAAGAGTATGGGAAATTATGGAGCAAAATCACCCAACCCTTGTGATGTGTTTGTTGTTGCCCTACTATATCTTATTACCCTATCAGATGTATTATAAGTGTAGCACCCTCTAGTGTGTTACTAGAATAGTGCAGTGTATCATACTGTAGGTAAAATCATTGTGTATGACTCATGTAGTTGCATGAATCTGTGAATGAGGTCGGGTTATTGCATGTCAGCTGGATGACTCAGCAGGTTGTGGCTCTATCGCCTCCTCCTGACTCTGGAGGACTATAAAACCTTCCTGAAGTTGGTAAGCAGGAAGGGGCAGAGGCTTAATCTGCATATTCATGGAGGTTATGGCCAATCCCAGGTTTTTAGGCCCTGGTAGAGTTGTGAACTGGCTTATAAATATGGGAGAGTCAGGCTGACAGGGGAGTCGGGTGGAAGATGGAGTGCTGAGGAGACTGTTTGGTGTCTATGAGGGGTCCCCTAGGTCTGGGGGGGAGGGGCGGCCTTTAGGCTGAGCTCAGGCTGGATACATTCAGCATGAATAGGAACAAGGCATGGAGCAGCAGAGAGCAAAGAGGACAGTGTGAGTACAGCAGCACACTCTGGGATCTACAAGGGGAAAGACTGCCACACGTAGAAAGCTTTCTGAGGACAGCATTGGGCTCAATCCTTTATCATTGTCCTGGGAGATCTTCCGAGAAGCCAGGAGGGCTGATAGTGCTTGCAGGCTGTGAAGATGGGAACAGCTCTATAGGGGAAGAGAAGACATCTCTGCATGTGGCTACAAGAGGTTAAGTTGCATTTTGAGGTGCTACTAGTTCCTCGCTCATAAAGGGCAGCTGCTAATGATCCACAATAACTGATGGCTTTCAGGAAAAGAACAGTCCAGGGTCTGCCTTAGGACATAGGAAGAAAGTGTCCCCCTTCTGTTGATTCAAGTCGATTGGGCGTCTTATAATCCCTATTTCCCTATCCAAGTTGAATTCCCCCCCAAGAAAATAACAAAACCAAGCCCATGGACTGGTCACTGTCTTTGGATGCAAGTCTGTGTAAAAGAAATACCTGTTGCCTGGCTGTGTGGAGAGAGGCTTAGGGATACCCACAACACAGCGGCTCTTACAAGGGTTGTGCTACATAATTGTATTATTTTCCTATTAGTGCATTGATGTTACAAGAGACGGAGAATCTCCTGCATTCTCTGTCATTCAGTAAAATTGGGGGATAAAATTGGGCCAAGTGTAACAAGATGAAGCAGAGGTTTCTTACACTATAGCCACAAAGGAAACAAATCTACTTTGTGTTCATGAGATGCTTTGTAAACCCAAATATTACCTTGTAAATGCATGGAGCTTCCGAACAGGTCTGCCAAAAAAACTAACAGGTGGACCTGACCAGAAAGCCCATATGAAAGGGGCCTTAGTGGATTGCAGATATCATTCCAGCAAAGTAAATGTTAATTTTTAGTGCCTGAGATGCTACAGATGATACCATGGGTTTTAATCTACATGATCACCTTTTGTTACCTACCAAACTGCTTATTTATAGCTATTTTAAATAATTTTCTCAGAGAACAGGGAAGTAATGACCTGATTGTGACTAGATCTGGTTCACAGATCTTAGACCATTAGTTCCCTCTTCTCTACATTTGCTGGTTTTCATCATTCACAACCATTGATTAGACCCACACAGATTTCACACCTGACCTCTTTAGTACACTTTAAATTAAGGACAACTGTGGAACTTTAGTTAAAAAATATAGTCCTGCTACAGTGCCTTGAAAAAGTATTCATACCCTTGAAATTGTCCACATTTTGTCATGTGACAACCAGAAAAAATGTATTTTATTGGGATTTTATGTGATAGACCAACACAAAGTGGCACATAATTGTGAAGTGGACGGAAAATGATAAATGCTTTTCAAATTTTTTTACAAATAAATATGTGAAAAGTGTGGTGTGCATTTGTATGCAGCCCCCCGGAGTCAATACTTTGTAGAACCACCTTTCCCTGCAAGTCCAGCTGCAAGTCTTTTTGAGTATGTCTCTACCAGCTTTGCACATCTAGGGACTGTAATGTTTGCCCATTCTTCTTTGCAAAATAGCTCAAGTTCAGATTGGATGGAGAGTGTCTGTGAACAGCAATTTTCAAGTCTTACCACAGATTCTCAGTTGGATTTAGGTCTGGACTTTGACTGGGCCATTCTAACACATGAATATGCTTTGATCTAAACCATTCCATTGTAGCTCTGGCTGTATGTTTAGAGTAATTGTCCTACTGGAAGGTGAACCTCCACCCCAGTCTCAAGTCTTTTGCAGACTAACAGGTTTTATTCTAAGATTGCTCTGTATTTGGTTCCATCCTTCTTCCCATCAACTCTCACCAGCTTCCCTGTACCTGCTGAAGAAAAGCATTCCCACAACATGATGATGCCGCAATCATGTTTCACGGTGTTGTTTTCAAGGCGATGTTCATTGTTAGTTTTCCGCCCCACATAGCGTTTTGCTTTTAGGCCAAAAAGTTCAATTTCAGTCTCATCTGACCAGAGCAGGGGCGGACTGACAACTCATGGGGCCCCCGGGCAATAAGCAATTATGGGGCCCCTGTGTCCTTGCCCACACTCAAACCACACCCAAAAAAGTCTATGAAAGGTACCAGGGGCATCTCATGGGACCCCCTACTGACCCCGGGCCCTCGGGCAGTGCTGTAGTGCACGAATGGTCAGTCAACCCCTGGACCAGAGCACCTTCTTTCACATGTTTGCTGTGTCCCCCACATGGCTTCTAGCAAGCTGCAAATGGAACTTCTTATGGCTTTCTTTCAACAATGGCTTTCTTCTTGCCACTCTTCCATAAAGGCCAGATTTGTGGTGTGTACGAGTGTAGTTGTTGTCCTGTGGACAGATTCTCCCACCTGAGCTGTGGATCTCTGCAGCTCCTCCAGACATACCATGGGCCTCTTTGTTGCTTCTCTGATGAATGTTCTCCTTGCCCGGCCTGTCATTTTAGGTGGATGGCCATGTCTTGGTAAGTTTGCAGTTGTGCCATACTCTTTCCATTTTCGGGTAATGGATTGAACAGTGCTCTGTGAGATGTTCAAAGCTTGGGATATTTTTTATAACCTAACCCTGCTTTAAACTTCTCCACAACTTCATCCCTGAACTTTCTGGTGTGTTCCTTGGCCTTCATGATTCTGTTTGTTCAATAATGTTCTCTAACAAACTTCTGAGGGCTTCACAGAACAACTGTATTTATACTGAGATTAAATTATACACAGGTAGGCTCTATTTACTAATGAGGTGACTTCTGAAGGCAATTGGTTCCACTAGATTTTAGTTAGGGGTATCAGAGTAAAGGGGGCTGAATACAAATGCATGCCACACTTTTCAGATATTTATTTGTAAAAAATTTTGAAAACCATTTATCATTTTCCTTTACTTTACAATTTTCTGCCACTTTGTGTTGGTGTATCACATAAAATCCCAATAAAATACATTTACATTTTTGGTTGTATCATGACAAAATGTGGAAAATATCAAGGGGTATGAATACTTTTTCAAGGCACTTTAGTTCACTGCAGACTGGCCCCTTTTGTAGGTATAGCCAGCGGTGTATTTACCACGAGGCAAACAAGGCATTTGCCTAGGGTGGCAATTTTTAGGGGGCGGCATTGCCCCCCGAAACAAGGGACCTGGTGAGCAGCGGCGGACTAACTCATGCAGGGCCGCCATCAGTAGGTGGCTCGAACAGCAGGACGGAGAGATACACAGTGCATTGTTCTGCAACTGCTCTCCCCTACCACTCGTTCCAACTACTGTTCGAGCCACCTACTGATGGCGGCCCTGCATGAGTTAGTCCGCCGCTGCTCACCAGGTCCCTTCTTCTGGGGGGCAGTGCCGCCCCCTAAAAATTGCCACCCTTGGCAAATGCCTTGTTTGCCTCGTGGTAAATAACCAGCTGAAAGCTGCTTTCTCCCCCTCTCCCTCCCACCTGCTTTCTGCTGCTGGGGGGAGAGACAGACCTGGCTGGATCAAGGGGGTGCCCGGGTGTTCCTGAGTGGTTGGTCATTGCTGAGCTCCTTCCCCGCCTGCACTCAGAGCCAGGACAAGGGAACAGCCTGGAGCAAGGAGAGGTGGCAGAAAGGAAATAGCCAGAAGGAGGTGCTCTGTGCTGTGTTCTCTGGGCTCTGCCTCCTGTCAGGACAGTGCTGGTCCATGCAGCACATGAGACAGGATCACTGATAGATTGTATGGGACTGTACACACACACAGTATGATTACCACCCCCCACCCACATTTCCTGCTGCCCGAAGATGAGCAGCCCTTGGAGGAGATAGGGGGTGGTAATCATACTGTGTGTGTACAGTCCCATATGCTCCATCAGTGATCCTGTCTCATGTGCTGCATGGACCAGCACTGTTCTGACAGGAGGGAGAGCCCAGAGAACACAACACAGTGCACCTCCTTCTGGCTCTTTCCTCTCCACCTTTTCTAGGAAGTGTAATGGGGATTTGGGGGGGGGGGGTGGTATTTGCTTGAAGGAGGAATGGGGGAATATATGCCAGTAGGAGGGTTATTTGAGCCAGGAGGGGGTATTGGGAGTAAAGT